GGGGGAGGGGAGGTCGGTGTCCCGCGGGCTCGGCTGGTGGCCCTGGGGGAATTGCCGAGCTCCTCTTGCCCCAGCGGTGCCGGGGAAAGGGTAAGGAGTGGGGTCTGCAGCAGGGCTCTGAGTTGAGGGAGTACCCTGGGGCAGAGGTTCCCAATTTCCTCTTGTGGCCAATAGCAGAATGGGTCACAAGCCATGGGTGTTCCCAGAAGCACGGTGCGGTGGTGACATGTTTTCTAGAAGCATTCCCCGTGTGCTCTGCAGGACCCTTTCTCTACAAGGAGGTTGTAGGGACGGGGTGGGGGGCGTGTGTGTCTGTCTCCTCTCCCAAGGAACAGGCGATGGGACAAGAGGGAACGGCCTCAGGTTGCCCCAGGGGAGGTTTAGGATGGAGATGTGGAGTAAATTCGTCCCCAAAAGGGTTGTGAAGCAGTGGCACAGGCTGCCCAGGGCAGTGGTGGGGTCGCCATCCCTGGGGGGATTTAAAAGCCGTGTAGCCGCGGTGCTGAGGGACGTGGGTGGGCAGTGCTGAGTCAACGGTGTGACTTGGTGATCTTACAGGTCTTTTCCCACCCAGATGATTCTATGGTTCCTTTTTTGTAAGTTATTTGGCTATCACCCTTTTGTTGCCTTCAGAATAACCGAATAACCGTATAATAAGCTTTGTTGTGGAGCATGGGAGGATTCTTCACAGAGATGCAAATTAATGAAGTGCATATATATGTGTACATAGCAGAAGTTACTTTAAATGTAAATCTGTGTAGTAATGGTCCATTAAGCTGATTTTAAAGATTTTTGCCTTCCAGACTCTATACTGTCGCTTTGAAGTGGGGTGACCTCTTGCTGTGGAAGAGGACCTGGTTCCTCCTCTCCGTGTGCTGCAGACATCGGCTGTGGTGAGCTCCGGGTCTCTGGCAGCAAAGTTCAGCACCTTGTTTCACTTCGTGACCTCAGTTCTTTCTGTCTTTCAAAAACATGGGTTTTTTTAACAAGTTTAGGCCCGTTGAACGCTAAACTTGATTAAAAACTATTTAAACCCTCCTCCTGGCACGTTATTTTTGGATTTGTTCCTCTTTCTCATTTTACGATGGTTTATTGCTCGGCGCTGAACTGTCAGAACGCCACCAGCGGGGTGTACAAGAACAGTACCGTTACTTTCTATGGCTTTCCTTTACAAAATAAACCTCTCTTGAAGCAGTGGATTCACAACATGGGCCGGGACATGGGAACGCCATCCAAGCATCAGCGACTGTGTTCGAAGCATTTTGAGGAGAGTTCTTTTGAAATTGACCCTTTAAAAATTAGAAAAAACAGACGGCTGCTGAAAGAAGCTGTTCCCAAAAAATTCATTTTGGGTGAAGATGGAAACTGGCTCGTTGGTACGCCTCAAAGTTTCTCTGGTGGGATGAGTAATAAAACTCGCAAACGAATCCGGAATCCTGAGCACTCAAGGGTAATTAAGATGTTTGCTATTGTATTTACTTCCCTTAAATTAAAAGAAGATTCGCATGTAAAGCATTTGAAAGAAGCAGCAGTAGGTGAAACGCGCTACATGGCAGGAAAGTGTTGCCAGAGCCGCTGTGGGTTTCACTTTTCTCCCTGGTACTGCTGAGTGTCTTGGTGTCTTTGTGCTCAAATTCCAATTTGTGCCTAAATGTGAGGGGTAAAACCTGCAGTTTATTGGAAATGCAGTCCCGGTTCACACTGTAAAATGGATTCACTCCCTCCAGACCTGTATTTGTACATGACAGCCCTCGCGCTTAGAAAAATCTTCTTTAGAGTCGCTGAGATGATGCATTGGTGGCACAGCGCCCACGGCGTGGGCGTCTGGGGCTGAGGCAAAGGCTTAACTTCTGCTCCACCTTCTCCCCTGTGTATTTCATTTGGATTGCGACCCCATCTAGCGAGAAATTAATGAAGATTAATTATTTCTCTTGGCAGAGGATTTGTACAGTTGGGTTTGTACGTGGCGCAAGTGGCAAAACACCTGAACCAGCGAGACGTGCGTTAGGTTGAAAGGCAAATCAAAGCGTATTCAAACGCGAGCGCGTACAAACGTGGTACTCCGCAGATATAAAGCGCAGATCCAAAGTATGTACGCAGCGTGAACATATACATTGTAAAAAAAAAAAATTTAAAAATGCAGTATTCATCTCTCGCTATTTTTAAGGACTAATTTTTTGTTTAACTTTTATTATTAGGGAAGAACGCTCACAGCCAGATCCAACAGGCCATGGCACTGCCTCCGGGCTTTTTTAAAACGCACTCTGGAATATTTTCTGCTTTTCATTGAAAGGCAGAGCCGAATCTGGGGCTGGGTATCGATGGTGACCACAGATGGGGTTTTTTTTCCAACTCATTTTTGACCCAGTCTTTATAGAAAGTCATTGTTTCAGTTGAGTCCCGTTATTTTTAAGTAGTTTTACTCATTCTGAGCTACGTACAGAAATGACAGTAGAAGATTTGTGTGAAAGTCTTTAATTAGTGTGCCAGTCATACGTAACACGGGCATTGCTAGAAACAGTTGGCTGGTGACCTCTCGTTTAATACTGTTTGAAAAAGAGGGCTGTCGAGGCTGTACGACTCTCTAATGGCACTGACACTGGAACGCTTTGTTTCAGGTCTCCGGGACGTTTGATAACGCTGCAGCGCATGAGGGGAATGACTTGGAAGATTGGCAGAAAGAGCTTTACAAGAAAGTAATAAAGGAGAATTACGACTCTCTGACCACGTTGGGTAAAGGTTAGTTTTGCCTTTCTCGCTGAAGGCTAACAGATCTGTGCTGTTTCTGGCCTGCTCTTGTCTAACAGTGACTCCTCAAATCCTTTGGTTTCTAGTGGATTAATCTTTAGATACATCTGAATCTTTGTGGGAGATGTTAAGCTCCGCAATTTTTCCTTTAAAGACTGAAGGACGGTCCCTTTTCTAACACCTCCCCGACTGCTGCCTCCCAGCGCTCTGTCGGAGTCGGATACTCCATGTGTGCGCGTAGGCGAGACCTTGTCTGCCTGATACGGGTGGAATAATAGAGAGAAAGGCTCTCCCCTGGGAGATGGGATGAGGATCTGACCGTGCCCCTGGTAACGCATGTGCGGAGTGTGAAACAGGGAGCAAAGGGGAGCGGGAAAGGTTTAGACGCACGAGCTCAGGATCTGTAATGTCTTGCGGTGTCGTGAATCCTGTGGACTTGTTAATTAGAGTTAAGTTGTGAGCATTTTCATCGTCCCCAAATCCTGATGTATGGTGGTTTTTGTGATTCACTAAAGAGTATTGAACTACTTTGATGCCGAAAGAGTTAAATAAGATGAATGACGCCCTAGAAAATGAAGAAGTCCTGTTGGTTACTTAACTATACATTTGTTTGAAGTCCTTGTTTGTTCCAGTTTGAAGATGTGAGCCCTCACTGGCTCCTCAGCTTTCAGGTAATTCCTTGGATTAATAGAAGAAGAACCTACTGTAATTAGGGGCTGAAAGTGCATTTGCTTGTCCTCTGGACTGGAGGAACAGAAGTGCTGTGAACCCCAGAAGCCTCAGGTGTTGCTTATTCTGCTTTGCTGACGCTCTTTTTTTTCTCTTCAGTGCCGTTTAAGAAACGCTGATTTAGCCTAACCTCATTCTGTTGCTGCTTCTGCGCCGTCAGAGTTGAAGTTACATGAAATAACGAGACAATGTAATTCCACTTTTTTTTTATATATATATTTATTATTCTTTACATACCTTTTATTTTTTTATAGTGGAAAAGCTAGAGAAAGCTGGAGTCTGCAGACAGCTGCCTCTGTTTTTTGTACAGCTCTGATCTGTTAAAAAAGCATGTGCTGTGCAGTGCACGAGGAGGGATTAGCTGGGGGAAGATCAGTCCGCGTATCAGAAAGGCAGTTAGGGCTGAATGATAACACAGCACCAGACAGCTGAATTCCGCGTTTACGGCTGTAATCGGTTTGAGACCTTCCACTTCCCGACGTTTAACTTTTCAACCTTTTGGATATAATTTCTGGAATTATATCCTGCTTCCCAGCCGCCCTCTTTAGATGCCAGAGCAGCTGTATTTGCTGCTACCGCCTCGCTGGACCTTTCCCCGGCATAAAAGAGACAGTGGATTATGTAGGTATTTGCTAGAAAAAGGCATCACGAAGACTTTTCTTACAGTTCTAGGAACAACTGGAAAATTGTTCTTCTTTGAGAAAGCAAAAGGCAGTATTTTTCATGTAAATTAACAAAAAATGAGTCATGTTACAAAGCAAAAAGGGCGTAAGGAAACCCCAGGGCTCGGAGGGGTGAAGCGAACAGGCTGACAAAAAGCTGTCTTCGGCACCGGTCTTTGTGCAGCGTATCCTTTGTCTACATCGATACAATTAAAGTGGGTTAGGAAATATCTTCGTAATAAGGAGGGGGGGAAACAGGGGAAAATAATAACCATCATTTCCATGTTCTGTTCCTTGTGCAGTCTCTCCTGCTCCCAAAAGCAACGTCCAGCCAAGAGAAGCGCTGCACGTCACGGATCAGCAGGATTTTGAGGAAAGGGAGATCCCCGCAAGTCCTAGCGCGGGTGTGTGGTGGCCTGAGACTCGTCAGAAATTAAATTGGCAATACGGTGAAAGTCCACGGGCTTGGAGGATTAGAGGGAGGGGGGTTCTAGTGCATCCCTGCTTTTTTTTTTTACCCCAGGCTTGTTCTCTTTGTATGGATGTAGCCGCGGTGAATCGGGGGTGGTTGTTCTTTGGAGACTGGTGTGACAGCACGTCAGATAAAGGGAACATTTGGAATCTTTCCGTTCCAGGCTGCGGCGGTACTGCGATCGGATCCGAGTCGCAGAGTCGCACAAAGACTGCAGAAAATACGGAACTGCATAGATCATTCTCAGGAGGATCCCAAGACCCGATTCGCCCAATTTTGGACGAGGTGGTAACATCTGAGAGTCCCCAGAATTCAGCAGCAGGTCAGGCAAATCCAACGGGAAGCAGAAGAGGTAACAGCTCTCTTGAGGAAGGAGAACCTAATGAATTCGAAGAGATCCTTTTTTATCAGCAGACCCACACAGGAGAAAGACTGTATCTGTGTACAGACTGTCAGAGGACTTTTAAATTGAAAATTGGACTTCTGAAACATAAGCAAATCCACACCAAAAAGAATCAGGCGGCGGCGTATATATGCACAGACTGCGGCAAAAGCTTTGGTCGCCACGCGGACTTGATTCGCCACCGGAGAACTCACACCGGGGAGAGGCCTTACAGATGTACGGAATGTGAAAAAAGCTTCACGGAAAAACCGAGACTCACTAATCACTTGCGAACTCATAACATATACACGTAATCGGTGTGCCAGAAGCTTTCCTGGGATAGATTTTTCCATTCGGTTGTCAAAAAAAAAGAAATCCCTCTCCATCCAGAGATGATGGCTTATAGTCACGTAGTGATTATAGGGGAAGCTTTCGGGTAAGGCAGTTTAATAAGACTGAATCAAGTTCACGTATGAAAAGCATCGGGTTGCTGCCAGCCTACCAGTCATTGATTAGGAGCTGATTTTAATTAGCAGCTAGATGATTCATATCTGGGAGGAGGAGTTGTATGGAGCACTGCTGACTGTACCAAAAGCATTATTAAAAAAAAAAATAATAATCTTCTGGCGCATTTACCAGCACGTGCTACAGAATGTCTGTGTTAATGCGGAAAAATGCTGTGAGTCTTTCAGGTATGAGAAGACTGAGAAAATGTCACGATCAGAACGGGGTTGTCCGCGGAGCTGTGAGTGGGAAATGGAGCTGTGGGAGCGTAGGATAAGGTGAATGGTTGGGTTTGGTGTAAAAATAGCCAAAAAAACCACTTCATTAGTTCAGCAGTTACAGCCATAGGAGAGCAACAGTGGCATTGAAAGCACTCACATGGAAATCATAGAATCACAGAACAGTTTGGGTTGGAAGGGACATTAAAGACCATCTAATCCCACCCCCTGCCCTGGGGAGGGCCACCTCCCCCCAGCCCAGGTTGCCCCAAGCCCCGTCCAACCTGGCCTTGACCACCTCCAGGGATGGGGCAGCCACAGCGTCT